GAGACACTAGTTAGAGTAGGGTTAGACTCTCTACATAGGAGATACGTTTTAGAACCGTGAGTCTGACGACAATACGTAACAAACTAAAACAGACAATATCTTCTAGTGACTGTTATAAATGATATCAAAGTCAGATATCGGGCAGTGTGTCAATAGGGACATTGAGCTTCCAAAAGGGGTGGATTGTGAGATCCCACTTTGATTGGAGAACTATTTCTCCCTAATAGACACGTTTTAAAGGTCAGTTAGTTATAGGCTTAAATGATTATCCATTCATTTTTTTTTTTAATATCGAGGACTAGGATGTAATATTGAAATATTAATTATTATAAAAATGGTAAAATAATTTTATTTAACCATTCTCCAAAGTATTTACATGCAAAAATGTAGGGTATGTTATGAAATGCAAATTAAAGTGGTTTTTTCTTTTATTTTTGTTTTGGGATAAGCACGAAATGTCTCCCACTTGTGGGTGATATATATTTTAAATGCTTTTAGATATGACCTCTCAACTAAACCCATTTTAATGGAATCAATTTCTTAATTTCAACTTTAGTGAGTTGTAATGTAATGATGACTTCAACAAACCTTAATATTTATTTATCTTCAATTTTCACTTTCGACACGTTATATAATAAACTGAACTATATATATTACGCTCCGAATATTTTTTTTTTTTTTTGTAGTGTCAGTAACTCTATCTATCAAAATTTAATATAAATTTTTAGTCATTAGTTGTTATTCCGACATTATCCTATATATTTTCTCTCTGGGTCTTCGTCTTTTTCTTAATCTAAATCGAGTATACAAGTTTCATATTTTGATCTTAAAAAATAAAAATTTGTATTTTGGGTTGGCCTTTAAAGAGAGTTACAAGAAATATTAACTTGTTTTTGATAAAAAGAATATTAATCATACCCATTTTCAAACAATAATTATAAATAAGATTCTTGTCGATTTAGTTGGTGTTTTAGTTTCTAAAGTTTAGTTAAAGTAATAAAGAAAAAAGTAATCACGAGTAATTCAATTTGATCAGTGATATTGTGTCGGCACCAACTATACAATTGAAGATACAGAGAAAAACGACTTTTGAATTTTGGGTACGATTAGAAATTAATATGAATAATTTTTTGTTTAATTGCCAACAAAATGATGAGATGGGAGAATGAAAAATAGAAGAAATTGGGTTTGTATGGCAATGATTATGTATTTGATAAACAGTAATCTTGTGAGTGATTGATTTTAAGAGTGATTAGACATGACTCTATAAATGTCACCAACCATTATCTCAATATCATTAGAGTCAATCATAATAAGCTTTGTATTATACCTCTTAATTGATAGTTTTTAAATTGGAAATTGGTTTTGTAACATAAAATAAATAAACGTGGTTGAATCGATAGCATGTAATGTTTTTTTTATCAAGTCTCGGGTTAGACTTTGAACTATTCTTTGACCTAGTTGGTGGATACCATGAGAATTTCAGCCGATCATTAGAATTTATCCACGCGTAATTGTTCTGTGTTTGATTGAGTTTTATATCTTCGTCATTTTCTTCTGTTACTTAGGTTGAATATTTTCCCTCAACCATAATTGTCATTTGAAGATCAATGATTGCTACTGGTTTTGTTCGTCAATGTGTAGTTCGTTCGTCAGCCTCACTACTTATGTTCTTAGAAGTGGCTTCGTTTCGTGGTTGTGGAATGTAGTAGGGACAATCGCCTCAAGCTGCTCCGTTTTCCTCTCTTGATTGTTCGTTGGTTTTTTCGGTCAAGTATTTGGTGGTGAATTGTACTTTTTCCCTTTAATTGTCATGGTATGAAGGTGTTGTCCGTTGAGATCTATGTCGTAAAACCTTGTAATTAATTTTATTTTTCTTAATTTTTAATTATTTTATTTGTAATTTAATGTTATCCATTTGAAAATTCAAGGTTATCATAAGGCTGAATGTTTGTCTTGGTAACACTATTGATACGACTTAATCATTTATGTGGAAACATGTTTGTGGGATGAGTTTATATAAAACTAGACCATGAAATATTTAATCTCTCTTAATAAAATTATTAATTGAGAAGTTTAATATTTCATAAGATATCATATGCAGCTCGATCCTAATCTTGAGTAAGTTATGAACTCTTATGTGTAAGGATCGAGTCTCACCCTCTCACAAAGAGGTACTAAACTTATGGTTGGATCATATACAAATGGTCTATTAGAAAATCAGTCGTGCTTAAAGAGTAAAATGAACTTTTGACCTAGTTGTACTTACAAACAACTCAAGAATGACCGACTTGTAATAATTATATCAATAGACATTGTGATGTCCCACATTGGTTGGGGAGGAGAACAAACCACCATTTATAAGGGTGTGGAAACCTTCCCCTAGTAGAAGCGTTTTAAAGCCTTGAGAGGAAGCCCGAAAGGGAAAGCCCAAAAAGGACAATATCTGCTAGCAGTGGATTTGGGTTCTAACAAAAAAAAGAACGTCGAGACAACGTTGTCGAGGGGAGGTAGACCGCACGAAAATCGTGCAGGCAGTCGAGCGAAGAGGACGGATTCCGCGACCCAGACCGCTTGCACTTTTTTCCTTCTCCCGCGCCTCGACCCGAGACCCCTGCACACGCGTCGCTCTCTGATTGTGCCATGTGTCGCGACTCCCCTCGGCTTCGGCGACTTATTCGGCTCGGGAAACCTATTTTCAGCCCGTTTGGCATCGTTCCGACCCTTCCAATGGAACATTTTAAGGTCGTATTTCACAAATTCAAGTTGGGAATTAATTATATTTGTGAAATACTAACGAAAGTGACGAATGAACCAATAGGAACCAACCACCAACGGAAGCGTAGAACGATCACGAGGAGTTAGGAGCTTATGTTATATTCTAGGGAGTACTTCGGCTAAGGCCTACCAAGTAAGTGGCTCACCCGTCATAGGTTACGCGTTATTTGCTACTAACGAAAGTGACGAATGTACCAATAGAAACCAACCACCAACGGAAGCGTAGAACGATCACGAGGAGCTAGGAGCTTACGTTATATTCTAGGGAGTACTTCGGCTAAGGCCTACCAAGTAAGTGGCTCACCCGTCATAGGTTACGCGTTATTTGCTGTATGTTGGCACGTGCTCGTGGATTTGCACGTGTCATTAAATTGTATGCTAGTTTAATATGCTTAAGTACAAAATCATGTGAACGTGAATATATGTTATGTATGTTGCTTAGTTTGATGTGATATATTATGCATGTGACGATATGTGGTCCTTGAATGATTATGACATGTTTGTATGGAATATTTGAATGTAAATAGTATGAATTGTATGACATGAAATACGGTAAACTGCATGGAAACATAACCTTGTTAGGAATATGTATGATACGTAAAGAAATGAAAATGAGAATGACATGTAAGCATGAAACGTATCAGGGGGCTATGTTCATTAATGATAAATGTAGGACTAGTGGGAACCTCATGCATATTGTGTGTTCATGCGTTTGGGGGGATACCCCTATCTCATCACGAAGGTACGGACGCGTACATCCAATGGTAGAACAACGATCGTTATGCTTTGCATAGCGTTGCCATGACGGTTCTAGTTTTAACGGGTCCCGGCATAAGGGGCTCCCAGAGTATCCCCACCAGATAAGGACAGTGGCCCAGTGGTGTGCGAACTAGCTGGTGAGCCCATACTCGCACGTATGGGCTGTGTGTAGAGTATATGGTATATGTCCACGATTACCCGTTAGGATTGCACCGTAGAGAAAACGAAACGAAACAATAAGGTCCCATCATTTCAGTGCATGTGATTGTCGCATAACCCCAATAGGGGGTCACTTACTGAGTATTCTAGAAATACTCAAGCCTCGTGCTACTTTACTTTTGCAGATAAGAACAAGGCACCCATGTGACAACGACGGCGGCATCGTACCCTGGGACCGTGGCACATGCATAGGGTAGTTGTTTTTCCATTTCATAGTCTAGGTTGAATTCATTTTGCATCACTAGTATAGATTAGTATAGATTGAGTTGTATTTGCATAATAAACCATAGTGTAGAATTAAAACATTCATTTCATTTTTGGTTCCTTTTCCTTTATTTCAATAATATTTGTTTCTTTTTCCCTTGTAATCTTTTCTCTTTCACGAGGTAATAAAAGGCGAGTGCAAGTCGCATTTATGAACATGGTCCATTTAATGTATATTCCGCATTTCAAGGTATATTAATGACCTTAGAATAAAATAGGTAAAATTTTAGGGCGTTACAAATGGTATCAGAGTCAGTTACCGGACGATGTGCCAGCCTTCTCGCTGTTCCCCGAAGGGGGGTAGACACGAGACGGTGTGCCAGTAAGAACGCTGGCCCCAAAAGGGGGTGGATTTGAGGGTGGTCCCACATCGATTGAAGGAAGGAAAGAGTGCCAGCGAGAAAGCTGGGCCCCGAAGGGGGGTCGATTGTGATGTCCCAAATTGGTTGGGGAGGATAACAAACCACCATTTATAAGGGTGTGGAAACCTGCCCCTAGCAGACGCGTTTTAAAGTTTTGAGGGGAAGCCAGCTCAAAGAGGACAATATCTGCTAGCGGTGGATCTGGGTCGTTACAGATATGTCTGAATTTAAAAATAATTACGTATGGATAAACAAAATTAGACAAAATGATTAACCATTCATCAACGACTTTCCTTTATGTTTTTTTTGTCACATCTTAAAAATGGAATTACAAATGAAAATTCCCCATGATTAGCTCAATTAATGGCTCTACTTGAATCCAAATTTCTTAAACTTACCCACAACAACAATCCAGACTGGTTCTTCTTTTGTTGTGTGCCACTTTTACAATAAAACAAAAAAACAACACCACTTTTGTTTCCTTTCCAAAAGTGTGGGACAGGAAGCATGGTTGGATAAAATTGCATGTAAAAATCAAAAAACAAACACATATAACTTATCCTCTTATAAATAGACCAAATGGGCTGCAGAGATTCTCCATTAACTTAGCTGCCAAAACACTCTTAAATGGAAGCCAGCAGTGAAAATAGGTTCAATTTGTTGCCTCCTGGTCTCAGATTTTGCCCAACTGATGAAGACCTTGTGCTTCACTTTCTTTATCATAAGGCTTCTCTTGCCTCACCTCACCATTCTTCCAATTCCATCATTCCTCAGCTTCAACTTCATCTCTATAATCCTTGGCAATTCCATGGTAACATCTTTTTCTCTCTCTCTCTCTCAATTTACCCTAATTTTATGAGATCCCACGTTGATTAGAGAGAGCAACGAGTGTTAGCGAGGATGCTGGGCCCTAAAAAGATAGATTGTGAGATCCCACATCAATTGGAGAGGAGAACAAGTGCCAACGAGGATGTTGGGCCCTGAAAAGGGTAGATTGTGAGATCCCATATCAATTGTAGAGGAGAATGAGTGCAAACGAGGATGTTGGGCCATGAAGGGGGTAGATTATGAGATCCCACATCAATTAGAGAGAAGAACGAGTGCCAGCGAGGATGGTGAGCCTCGAAGAGGGTGGATTGTGAGATCCCACATCGGTTCGAGAGAGTGAAACAAAATATTTTTTATAAAATGTGGAAAGCTCTCCGTAGCATACGTGTTTTAAAAACTTTGAAGAGAAACTCAAGAGAAAACATCCTAAAGAAGACAATATTTGCTAGTGTTCAAGCGGTTACATCTACCATTATAGTAGAGTACAAAATTTTGAGGTTCGGTAATCAAAATTAGTATCCAAAACCAATAACATACGACAGAACGTGTTTAAAATGACTTTGTAAGCGTTTTTTAATACCTAAAAAGATATTCCGACCTATTGTTTAACGAACCATCATACTATAATGATAAAAATTAGGGAATATTTTAGTAAAGTTTGAACTTTTAAGGGTACTAAGAGTGAATTTAACTGGCGTTTTGGACAGGGAGAGCACTTTCAAATGGGGACATTCATTACTTTTTCAGCACAGTGGGAGAAAGCAAAGCAACAGAGAATGGATATTGGAAAGATGTTTTAATGGATGAGCCAATCCTGTGCAGTGCCACTGGGGACGAAGTGGGTATCAAAAAATATCATATTTTCTTTGTTGGTGAAGGAGATGACTCGCCAACGCCCATCCAAACCACCTGGGTTATGCAAGAATACCGCATTTATAGCTACCTTTTGGATACCCATGTCCACACTCCAGACACTCTACCAAAACAAGAATCAGTAAGTCAAACAAAACTCACCTATCTTTCAGTTCATCTTCATCTGTTCTTGTTCTTTCAATTTCTTATTTCTTGGTATCTTTTTTTCGTTTTTGTTAATTATATATTTGTAATGTTCCACGTCGGTTGGGAGGAGAATGGAACACCCTTTATAAAGATGTGGAAACCTCTCCATAGGAGATTGAGTTTTAAAAACCTTAAGGAGAAGCTCGAAAGAAAAACCCAAAGAGGACAATATGCCAGCTACAAATGGTATCAAAGCCAGATAGCGGGCAATGTGCCAGCTAGAAGGCTGTTCCCCGAAGGGAGTAGACAAGAGACGATGTGTCAGTTAAGACGCTAGACACCGAAGGGAGTAGATTTGGTGAGGTCCATATCAATTGGAAAAAGTAATGAGTGCCAGCGAGAACATCGAGCCCTTAAAGGGGACAATATCTGCTAGCGGTGGGCTTGAGCCGTTACAAATGGTATCAGAGCCAGACACCGGGCGATGTGCCAGCGAGAAGATTGTTCTCCGAAGGGGGGTAAACACGAGTCGGTGTACCAGTAAGGACGCTAGATCCCAAAGGGGTGGATTTGGTGGGGTCCATATCAATTGTAGAAAGGAATTGAGTGTCAACGAAGACGTTAGGCCTTGAAGGGAGTGGATTGCGATATCACACGTCGGTTGGAGAGGAGAATGAAACGTCTTTTATAAGGGTGTGGAAACCTCTCCCTAGCCGACGCGCTTTAAAAACTTTGAGAGAAACAACCCAAAAAAGACAATATCTATTGGTAGTGGGCTTGGACAGCTACAATATCTTTATATTTTTCTATGGTTTCTAGTTGGGTTTAGTTTGGTGAAATCTAAATTAGCATTCACTTAGATTTCTATTCACCAAAATTAGGATTCACTTTGATTTCTAAAATTTTAATGGTGTGGTTAATAGGTTTCTAAATACAATGTTATACAAAATTAAAAGTGGAAAGCTTTATTAGAAAGCTTTACCATTCAAAAACCTATTAGATAAGAGGTTTAGAGTTGAAAATTTTCTCGAACACTTCCAAATGTAGAGCATCTATTGACACAAAGTGGAACAAATAGACGAACTTGTAATTTAAATTATAAGCATAGTTCAAGTACAGACTATGGATTAAGAAATCAAATAATTTTTAACCTAAAAAAATTAAGATCGAGAAACAAAAACAAGAAATGAGGAACTGTTACAATAATGACTTTATTTTTTTTCAACTTTCAAACCTATGAAAGTGGTACTGGAAATATATGTTTGAACCAGTTGATTTATGTTCAGGTCGTTAGTTTATTTGAAATTAACATAAATTCTTATTATTGTTGTAATTTGAACAGGAGTTTGGACTATGGGTTATGTGTCGAGTTTTTGAAGCAAAAGACAATAGTGGGAGAAGTATCTTTAGTTATGAGGACAACGAAGATAATGAAAGTGAACTTTCATATTTGGATGAGATGTATTTGACGTTGGATGATATTTGAATCGATTATGAATATTTATTAAAGTTCTAATAGTTTTTTAATCTAACTTTATTATAAACAAATTCCCGTATATTTTAGTCTCTAACATAACAATTTAGTGTTATCGTAGGTACAAATTTAATTTAATCCATGTTAAGTTGTTAAATTGAAAACTCAAAGGAAAAATCATCTTTGTTTTAGGTTATCTTCGTGTTCGACGTCGCATACATTGATTTCTACTTTAGCCACCGTTATTTGGCGTGACCAATTCATCTCGTCTATTAGAAGCCCAACTTGAAGGTCGACGCTTGCCTCAACGTCAACCTTGGCCTTTTGTTGGTTGAGGATAGGAATTGACCTCAATGTGTATGATCCTTTTTTTTTTTTTTTTTTTAATAAAATAGAGACGTCGGTGCATGAATGACAGTCCTATTATGGACAAAAAAGTCTGTAAATATATTTCATAAACGATATCATGGTCTTAGACGTTAATAATAAATTCATTTACAAAAAAATATTATTATCAACAACGTATGATATGATAAGGAATTACTACAAGAGAAGTAAGATTCGGATTACCTTATTGATCGAATATCTCAAGGCAAGAACATTGTTTGAGATTCGAATCACTCCACAAGCAAGATCAATCACGTCTAGCTTGAATGATTCTTGTTGATCAAATATCTCAAGGCAAGAACACTTGTTTGAAATTCGAATCACTCCACAAGCAAGATTGATCTTGTCGAGCTTGAATGATTCTACATGCAACCTAAACTACATAGAATTGCAAATAAACTTAGTCATTGGCCAAAGAAAAGCACAAATGCTTCTTTTACTATATTTTCCAAGTCTCTTACACATACAAACATACATGGTTTTATATAGCCTTAAAATGAAACGATTAAAGACATTCCAACCGTTGTAACATTCATACTTAATGGTCATAATTAACTATTATGTAATTGTAACCTATAGTAAATAAAAAGTCTTAAAATACATAAATGAAATACAATAACTCTAAATTGTAATCTACCCAAAATTTATAACATAAAACTTCATTATTCTTCAATGTGGCAGGAATTGAAATATCTTTTGATGATTTCAACAATATTTTCTTCACATCTTCATTGAAGCATTTTGTATTATTGATGTCTCTTGGTTCATATCAACGTAGAGGAAAAATAGATAACATGAAGTTAAATAAAAAGAAGCAAGACCTTAAACTAATCTAAGGGCTTCTAAATCAAATATGAATGCAACTATTCCAACTTTGTTTCCATGGTCTCCATGACAGTACCGTCATCCGATAAGGGTGTCTCCCTTTTACAGAAAAAATGTAGCACGTGACTTGAGTATTTAAAAATACTTAGTAAGTAGCTCCACTATTTGGGTTGAAAAATGCAAATATATGCAATCACGTTGAGACCTTTCCTTTCATTATCTCATAGCCTAGTCTCACTTTTCAATCTAGGTCGATTGAATGTGCATTACTTTTGTACATGTAGCCCATGAATGCGCAAATGAACTCACTGGACTTAGCTTTCGACTAGTGTATACTTATGCGGCTGGAAAAGCCGTGGAGGGAAAGGAGTGCACATAATATCATGGTGTATACAATATTATAGCGTACTCATCTGTATTCATCATAAAGGAAAAATATCCTGATGCACCTGACACATAAAATGTATGAGGTCTCCATACTTTTAAATCATGACATATAATTAGACTATAGCTAGCTAGATACCGTGATGTTGACTATGCAGAATATCATGATACCCGAAAATCGAGCATCAAATATGTGTTCATGCTTGATTCAGAAACAATTTCGTGGTGTAGCCAAAAACAACCAACAATATCATTGATAACTAGAGAAGAAGAGTACAGAGCAACGGCTGGTGGTGCAACTCAGTAAAGTACATGGTTGAAACTCTGGATAGAAGATTGGCACCAGAAAATTGATTATTCAATACCATTTCATTGCGACAACCAATCTGCAATTCGCCTAGCAAAAAATCTGGTGTTTCATGTTAGAACCGAACATATGGAGGTCCGCTCAACATAGTGCAACCAATGAGGACTAGCTATGAGGTGAGTGTTAAAATATTCATCCACTGTATCTAAGTTTTCATCCCAACTTAATAAATACGAAGCACAGAGTGCAAGAGTAATTTTTAAAGAGCATCTTATTATATATACTCGATTGGGGTCAAAATTTAAAAACAAAATACAAAGGAGATTATAGGGTGTCCTCCAATGGAAAATCGAACCTCTTTGGGCTCAACCAAACCCATCGATTGTGCCTGGTTTTTGGTCCCCTATTTCATAAAAGATTCATTGGGCATTCAACCTCCTATGTGTTGGTCTCTTCCACATAGGATTAAACTTTTGATTTTGTGCTTCAACTTATTATTATGACTTTTAAAATTTTAAAATTAAGAAAAAATTATATAAAGTTAAAAAACAAAACTTAATAAAATATTTAAAAAGAGATAAAAATATAATTTAATATTATAGATGCATAAATTCATAATAAATCAAATTCAAAGCTTTGTTAGAATAGAAAAGATAATTATTAGTGTAATTTGAAGTCTTGAACTGGGCGACAAGATTGTGTTCAAAGATATTTTCTTTTTTGTTTTTTTTTTTTGGTAAATATAAATTATTGTTTTTGACTTCTTTTGTACATTGATCTTTCATATGTCTGTTTGTTGCTTGGATGTGTCTCTCTCTTCCTAAATCTTTTGGCCAAACTTAACCTAATCTTGAGGGAACATTAAACCTAAATTCGGATAAAGATTCAGCACTTGATGACCTTAGTATTACCCTACGACGTGGTCACGTTACCTATTCCTCGCTTCTTAAGAATCAAAACTATTTTCACAAAACAACACGTTCCAAGATGTTTTGTCTTCACTCACATACATCTTAGAAAAATTCTCAAAAGATCACCCAATATAATACTGTGAAGTTCCTATAATTGAAGAACAAAAAAGTAAGGTGCACTTTGTTCGTGTACCCTTCTTTTATTTATATCTCACAATTTGTACTAAAAGTCTATTTCTTCTAACAAAATTAATGTTATGATCAATAAACACAATTAATAAACTACCATATTTAATCAACTTCATTCATCACGTTATCGTCATCTTTGACCACTATATTATTATAAATAATAAATCTAATTAATTTGGAAAATAATTAAATTTATGGAGGAATATAGTTGTGTATTTTAGGATGGATTCTAAATGGGAACCTAAAAAATCTTATATGATTGGTCTCTCTCTGTTTCTCAAGGAATAAGACCCATATTTTTCCCTTGTTTTGCCCACTTTTTGTTATTTGTTTGCAAAGCTCACTTTGCTCATCTCACAAGGATAAGCCCTTTTTTGTCCCTCTCTCTTCTGATCCTATACTGACTCTCTGCTGTGATGTGTGTCAGTATGAACAGCATTAGCTCACAGCATATCAGTACTCTCTCTTTAGTAACTGACTGTGTAAGTCTGAACATTGCCTACTTTTCTTTCCCATCACCCTCTAAAAAAGCCCTTGAGAACTCTTCTATAATCCACTTCTCAAAGTTCGCCATATCTCTCTTTCTTATAGTCATACCCACTCTCTTGTTTCCCTCCCTGTTGTTGGTTTATCATGAAAGAAGCTCAGGAGACCATCCCTCACTTGTTTAGATGTCCAATAAGTTTGGATTTGTTGAAAGATCCTGTGACCCTTTGCACGGGACACACTTATGAAAGATCAAGCATTCAGAAATGGTTGGCCTCTGGCAATCTCACATGTCCTGTAACAATGCAGAGGCTGCATGACCCTTCTTTTGTTCCTAACAACACTCTTCGCCATTTGATTACTCAGTGGCTGCAGATGAGTGACCAAATCAACCCTCACTGCGTTTCTGCTATTGATTCTATGTCTGCTTTGAGAAGCAAACTTGAATCTGATGAGTTTTCTTTTCAATACAAGATTCAAGTTCTCCAAAGAGTGAAGATTGTATACGATGAGTCCCCTTGTAATTCTTGTTTGATCCAATTTGGGTTCTTGTCAGTGCTCTTGGAGTTGGTTTTTGGTCAAACAGAAGCTAAACTATCTCAAGAGTATCAGGAATTTGTAGAGCAAGCCCTTGGTTTTGTGGTTACTGTGGTCTCTCTTGATCAGATACAGTCCCTAAATGTGTTAATGGAGGAGTCTAAACTATCGAGGTTCTTGGTTTTGTTCAGCCATGGCACTGCCATGGTCAAGATCAGTTTGTGTCATCTGGTTGAGGCAATTTCATCTTCAGTTCAGGCTAAAGATCTAAGTGCTTTGCTAGGAAGCAGCACCGAGCTTTTGCACGAAATCGTGCAACTTCTACATCATAATTCAGAGGTCTCCGATGCTGCAACCAAGGCCATATGGTCACTAAGTAAATTGGAACAAAACATAGACAATTTGGTTGCGGAAGGTGCGGTTAGTGGGCTTATTACATACATTTTCAACGCACAACAGCGAGAAAGAAGCTCTATACGAGTGGGATTGGCAGCAATTGAGAAACTTTTGGTGATAAGAAGAGCAAAAGAGGAAGTGATGAATAATCCAAACGGGGTAAACGCTATTGTGAAGATGGTTTTTAGAGTGTCAGATCATGGAGGTAGTGAAAGTGCTGTTAGTTCACTTATAAGTTTATGTTATGATTCGGTAGAAGCAAGAGAAGAGGCCATTAAAGATGGTGTTTTGAGTCAATTGCTTCTGCTTCTGCAAAGTCAGTGCAATGCAATGACCAAAACAAATGCAAGAGTCCTGCTCAAGCTTCTTAGATCCAAATGGGTTGAGGACAAAAGAAAACTATAAGGTGTAATAATGATATTATATCCCTCACAGCCTTGATGGGGCCGTCCGTTTGTTTTCTTCTTTTGCTTTACATTATATAGCCTGCAAAATCTATTAGGATACATCGTCAAATCATTAAAGCAGATTAGATTGAGTGAACCTGAAGCAGAATCACAGCCGTTGATGATGTGTGGATCAAGTCTCCAATGCCAAATAACAGCCTGAACATGTCATAATACACCTGATTAACAATCATGACAAGTTTCAGCTCAAAAATAGTATCAGCAATTGCAAAGACTTACATGTGATCTAGAAAGACAGGGGGGCAGGGCACATGGTTGATGGCCCACTCAGTTTGCTGGAAGCACTTCCTGCTTGGCCTGTCAGCAATGGCATTTTGCTTGAATGAAAGCACATCAGACCCAGCATCTTTCTCCAATTGTTGGAATTGCAGCTCCGACAGGTACTTGTGATGGGACTTTTCCTTGCCAATACAAACATCAGAACAGTAAATAATTGAAAAGGCTGTGGTTTTACAAACCAAAAGTTACTTGAAGCAAAAACTTTGCTGTGAACTTTCTTGAAAAAGTAGGGGAAATTGCATGAATGAAAGAATTCTATGAACACCCGAATCGTCGTAAAAGAGCAATTTCTATTTATATGAGGACCCACAAAAGACCTACAAGAACTTTAGAACAATTTTGGTCTCGCCATTAGAAAGTTAATGCACAAGTATAAAATCAGTGCATTGTCACCTTTTTAAACGGTGACTTCCATTTTCTAAGTAGTAGGAATCAATCAACATTTAAGATAAAAGGAGGACAAATTTGAAGCCTCCATTATCCAGCCGAGTGCTAAAAAATTTGTCCACTTACAGAGCTTTTTATGCATACAAATTCTTATAGATGTCTAAGAAAGTGTACAGAACTGTTGCAATGAACTAATCAAACTAGGAGGGAGGTCAGTGCTTTGTTTCTTTCACATATGAGAGATATTCACATAATGAGAATCAAGCAAAGTGATAATGGTGAATTGATTTTCAGCCAGCAATGGAGCATGTTTATCCACGCATAAAGCTGCATCCATTGCCGCATGCTCTTCTGCAAAACAATATACGACACAGTACTGCACATGATTCATTATGGCCACATAGCTTTGCGTGCAAAATGTTAAGAGAAACCATAAAGGTAGGATACGCATCAGTGATTTCTTGATAGTTAGATTTACTCTTGATTTGACCAAATTCTTTATTATATCATTTATATTGGAAGAAAGCCATTTGCAATCTGATAATGTTCGTTATATAAGTTTAATAAACGTTATATCTAAAATTAGATGGTTCTGAAGAATGGAAACTTCGGCTAAGCATCAATTTACAGAACTGTGAACTTCTATTTTAGAATAAAGAATCAACTACGACTGAACATTGTTTTTAAAAGTTAAATTAATTTACAAATCCAAAGTCCTCAATCGGAATTGTTGCAACTGAATCACTACAAAAACATAATTGCACGATAGTTAAAATTGAAAAAAACAGAATTCGTTTACGCAGCACAAATGTACAGAATTAGTGCGAACCACAGTGAAGCAGAGAAGAGTTTGATTGAAATCGCCAAGAGCTTGCAACTCCCTGCCTCTATCAAGAAGCTCCACGGGTTCCGATACTCCTCGAAAAAATGGCAACACTCGCTTCTCTCTCGCAGAAGAACTCACAGGGTCAAAGTTGTCTGCAAGCATCGCAAGATCTCGGTTGAATCGGATGGAGTGGGCAAGGGGAGGGAGAAGAGCAACAAACGTCTGGTCGGTAATCGATAATGGTCAGAAAATGAGAGTGCCTTTGAAGGCTTAGGGTTAGGATTTGTTGAAGGATCATGAGAGGAAGAAGAAGGAAATGGAAGATGGTGAATCAGTACTCTTGCATTTGCAGAACCCATTTCCATTGGTTTTGGTGGAATCAGTACTTTTTCAGCCTTATTTTCATATTTCCCCTAATAAAATAATAAATTGGCTAAATATATGATATGTTTGATGTTTCGGCTTAATGCATAACCTCCATATATGCATCAAAAGTTATGGTAAAATGATATGATATGATATAAAAGAAAAGTAGGAGAGGTTGTATATTGCAATGAAAGAAAATGTTGGGACCTTATGCATCTGTGTTCATGTATTGGAGAATATCTTTTTTTTTTTTATGATGATATGGACACTTATGCTAGCCCGACCAAGAAAGGGACCCAAGAGATGTGTGAACTGAATGGTGGACCCGACCAAGAAAGGGGCCCAAGAGATGTGTGAACTGAATGGTGGATCCATACTCAAACACGTAGACTGTGTGTAGAATAGTAAACACGTATCCAATTACTTGCTTAGGATAGCCACTTAAGGGAATATATTGATATTATAAGTCTCACTCATGATTATATGTGCTTCAATCTAACCCAATAGCGAAGTCACTTATTGATCGCAATTTAAGAGACCATGGCACATGCATAACCTTACATATATTTATGTGTATATATATATATATATATTTAAATGATCTTAATCAAGATAGTCTTACTATAAAGAATTAAAACAAGAAACACAGAAATCATGAAATCTTATATTTCCAATTTTGAACTTTTGCCTGTACAAGAAAGAAAGCCAGCACCAAGAAAGACCCCATTCAATTTGTAACAGAATTTGTGAGAGATATTATAATAAAACTGTAACACCATGCTTTTCTATTATAGTTTTACAATAACTTGGGAAAATAAGCAGCAAATGAATCAAATTTCAGCAACAACTGCTTGTGGATGCATCAAGCTGTGGAGGCTTTTCCTTGAAGATGTTCTTTCTCACTCCTTTGGACCCTTCAGATAAAAGGCTCGGCGTCTCGAGAATCTGCATATAAGACTCGATATTATCGCGTTTAATCGTCCATGCAGAATTCAGTTTAAGTTCAGAATGTGGGGAGGATACCCTTCTTAAAACATGACTTTACAAGAGTTTTTAAAAATCTCATGGATGTCTTAATTTATTTATGAATCTACCAGCAACGTGACCGCCTTTTTTCTTTCGAAAAATATCAGACATGATTGTTACGACGGAGAAATAACACGTTCCAGATAGTTACTAACCAATTATGAATCCCTTGCCCAGAAGATGAATTAAAAGTGGTGGTACTAAACTGATATTCTTACCTTTAGAACAAGTTCTTCAAAGCACTGTTGTACATTGACTCGAGTTTTGGCACTGCATTCGATAAAAAGACAACCGTGTTCCCTGGCCAGCTCAATTCCCTCTTTCTTTGTTACTGTTCTATAACTTTCCTGAAAAAGATTAAGTTAGATGCAAACAATGAAGAACAATATGAGAAGTGATTACAAGAATTCCTACACCAAGAAAAGCTAACAAAAACAAAAATAAGGTCAGAACTGAGTCTGAATCCCTAACCAGGTTAAGCCATAGAATTTTCTTCTCCTTAGTAATTAAGAAATCAATTGAATTCATAATTAGGAACTAAAACGAAATTCAGAATGTTCAATATTGCCGTTTAAGTTTGCAATAAGAGAAGATATTACATGGATTTGAAAAGGAAAAAAAGATATTGCCCTATTTTACCAACTGAATTCAATTTTTTTCCCCATTAAGATATAAAAACTAAGATGAAGTATCTAATGGCAAATCATAAATCTTTTAAAAAAAATAGAACACATTTCGAAAGCTAAATTATTGTTCCAATCAAACTTCAAATTTATTTGGAACTGGATTTAAAATCTCGAGTTCATGCATTCCAAGCTTTGTTAGACCTCTAATACTATGTCTATACAAGGAAGGAAAAATGGAGATTGTATCACTTATGACAGATAGTTAGGTTACGAGTTTGGCTTAGTTTGTAAGAGGGAAGTGAGCTTGGGAATATGTACATCAGGACAGGTTTTGCGCATGAAGATGAGCCAGCCCTCTCGAATAGGCTAGATTAAGTGTCTTGACACTCTTCTAAGCTTTCTAATAGTAAATAATAGCTTGGTTACCCAATCATATGGATAATCCTTGCTGATTCATAACTCAATCAGTTCTTAAATTATCAACATGTTATTGATAGTTAACTTGAAATTGTAACGGCCCAAGCCCACCGCTAGCAGATATTGTCATTTTTTGGGCTTAACCTTTCGAGATTCCCCTTAAGATTTTTAAACGCATCTGCTAGAGAGAGGTTTCCACACCCTTACAAGGAATGCTTCGTTCCCCTCTCCAACCGATGTGGGATCTCATAATCCACCCCCCTTGGGAGCCGAACGTCCTCGCTGGCACACCGCCCGGTGTTTGGTCCTGATACCATTTGTAACAGCTCAAGCCCACCACTAGCAAATATTGTCCTCTTTGGATTTTCCCTTTCGAGCTTCCCCCTTAAGGTTTTAAAACACGTCTGCTAGGGAAAGGTTTCTACACTCTTACAAGAAATGCTTCATTCCCCTCTTCAACCGAGGTGGGATCTCATAGAAATTTTCTTTGCCATGTGAATTTCAATTCACCATTTGGTCAATTAATCAACATCTACACAATTGTTACAGTAACCTGCCTCAAGCGTATGGATAATTTCAAATAGAAGTTGAAGATGCATACCTTATCAACTTTGTTTCCAACAAGCATCTTGATGCAATCTGGATTTGTTGAATATAAGTCTATTTCCCTCGCCCATACCTCAGTCAGGTTTGTAAATGTCTCTCTCCGCGTTACGTCATAAACTGTCACAGTTGACCTTCTATGTCATAATCAAGACAAGACAAAACAATTGAAAAATATTGGCAGAAGAACAAGCAAGCAACTTACAATTTCATAAAATCATGTATTATGTTTAAACTAAGCATATGTAAGATATATACTTAGTTAGGAACAATCACATAAAAAGAGGAATTAGAACACACCCATAATGATCCCTTGGGCACCTCTGTAGTATGAACTAGTCAATGTTCTGAATCTCTCCTGCCCAGCTGTATGATTGAATATTGAGTTAGTGGTAAACTAGATTTCTTTCATGCAAATTCAGTACAAGAAACATATAAGAATTAATGTTCTAGTACCATCGAAAAAGTCACGGCTAATGAACAAGAACGACCATATCATCTTTATAATTGACAGCACTAGAACCATTAGACAACAATTGAGAATTAGAATAAGCCTGACCATTTGAGCAATTCTTTAGTCTGTTAAATCAATATTCAAATTTGATTCAAACATAATTATGAACAAGTTTATAGTCTAGATGAAATAGCTCTAGTAGGCTGCAGGTTCAACAAAGCTTTACATGAACATGCAGAGTTCATTCATGTTGAATTGAACTATAAAGCAGAACCACATCATATTTATGGTCAATGTTAACAAGCATTTTCACCATCTAGATTTATTTTTTGATTAATTAAATTTATTACGGTCATCCATTCATTTAATGCCTCATAGTATGGATCACTACCACTCTGGGACTAGGGAGATCCCCTAGACATCCTGTTTCCGTGCCTCTCCTCCTTCTCCCCCCTAAACAGATTATCAAAGAAAAAGGCCCCACTTCCATTGGGGCCCCATTCTAACTTCTACAGTCGACACAACAGAAAAATATGTTCCAGCACTCATCGAGTTCATGATAAGGGCGTGTAAGTAAAAAATCAACTTTTGTGCTACTGAACAAAAAACAAGATGTGCAAATGCACAGGCCTCAATGTATTTATACTTTAGAATACTGTACACCTGCCTGCCTATTCTTAGCAGCCATATTACTTGTGCAATATCTTCTGGTAAATTAATCATATTATATATCCGTTCCGTGCTTCTTTGCAAAAACAAATACCTTTAACATGTGTGAGAAATAGAACAGATGCTCTCTCAAGAAAGAAAATGCAGGAAGACGAAAGAACAGAAGAATGCTACGAAAATTATGACATGGACAAACTTAATTACCTGTATCCCAAATTGCAAGTTTCAGCTTCTTACCCCCAGCAGTAACATACTTTACCTTAAAATCGACGCCTACGCATAAAAAATAACAATCATTTGGCTATCCTGCCATCACAGGGCACAGATTATGTAGCAATTCAACTCTAAATGACCAGTGATAATTGAGCTGCTAGAAAGGATACAGTGCATACTCTTTTAACAAAGAACATTCATTGATGTTTGAAAAGTTGCAAACTAGAAAACAGAACATATTACAATTAGCCATTGTCATAGTACTATAAAGCTATTTCAATAAAAACGAATTAAGAATACAAAGGAATAAGAACTAACCTTACATTACTCGGAAACAATGATTTTCCATTAGACATTGATATACAAATTAGCTCTTTATGACTTCTCATATTTAGCTTTCCAGATATGATTAAAGCTAAATTCCTTAAACTGTCCTAAAAAATGACACACAAACTTGATCATCTTAGAGCTTCATTCTGCTCTTGTTCCTTTTTCTTAACATTGGTCCTCTAAATTTTCGCTTCCATTTCATTTTTTTGTTTTCAATCTCAACTCCTCCATGCAGAAGGTGGAGTGAAACTTCAGCATTAGCAGCATTTCAAGATCTATCGACATTGTTCTTAAAAATGATAAACCAATTTGTCACCGCTCATTTTCAACAAAATGAATAAGATCCCACAAAATCAAAAGGCAGAAGTGCAAAATAACTCTTAAGAACTGACCGATTGTAGGTGAGAGATCCTCGAAGCTATCGGAAGTGAAACTCAACAGCAGACTACTTTTCCCAACCCCCGAATCCCCAATCATCAACAATTTGAACAAGTAATCAAACTCGATTTGATTCGACGTCGAATCCATCGAATCCGCCCTCCAACGGGTCCAACTCAATCAACAATTTTCAAAATAAGATCGCTTCCAGATCACGTACCTAAACAAATCAAATAAAACCCAAACTCAGCGGATTCGTATAAATCAAACAGCATATGAAAAGGGCAGTATCGGTGCCAGAAACAGATTTGAACAAATCACAACCAAATTACACATAGCATGACGTTAAAACGGATCAGATTTAATACCCAAATGCCACAATCTAATAGAAATTGATGAAGCGTCCAGTGAGGATGAAAAAAGAAACAAAGAATTTGGAGACCTCCCTGATCTTGGTTTCGTTTCTATTATTTGTGGTGGTGAAGGTTATCGATTAAGAAAATGGAACTTCGATTGAAAATGCCAACCCGTGCCGAGCCCGCCCTTAACTCGGGAGTCAACTCAGGCTGATCGATTGATTGGGATGGAGGCAACCACAAAAAAAAAAAAAAAAAAAAAAAAAAAAAAAGTTTT